TGTGCGGCACGCAAGCTGTTCTTTATTTGTTTTGGGGGCCCGCTCCGGGTCGGGAACCCGTGAAAAACCCCCAAGGTTGGGGGGGGGGGGGTCATAGACCCTAGGGAGGAACTTACTACCACTGTTTTGTTAAATGGACTTGTCCAAACACCTTCTAAATACTTATTTTTAAAGACATGCATGTTAATGCTGCTCTTCGTGTTGGTCTGAGAAGCTTCCGTTCACAGTGAGCAGCAATCAATGTAGAGACTCGTAACTGCTCAAAGGGTTGTGAATAAGTGATTGCTGCTTGCTCAGTCCTGAATGGGACAAGTTTCTCAACCTCCCCAAAGCTCAGGGAGTGCTGTGGAGCACTGGCAAGAAAAGATAGAAGAGCTGGAGGACAGGGGAGCTCTGTGGAGGTGGTTTTCGGGCTGTGACAGCCATTTGTACCCATGAGCTCATAGCAGCTGTGGTTACCTGCACGAGCTCTCAGAAGATCAAGTCTGTCACCAGGCCACATGGAAGGCCAGGGGCTTCTGAGTACTCAGCCCTAGCTGAGAAGCTGTTGGCAGTTGACGGATGGCTCCTGGGAGATGGAGAGTCGTTTTTCCTCAGGGGTGTAGCTGCTGGTAGGCTCCACGCTCAGGTGAATGCCCCCTTCCCCATGGGCACGCAGGCAGCACTGGTCCTACTCAGTGGGTTGTGGAGACAAAAAGAAGACATGGAGGTTGGAGGGGGATGGTTTGGAGGGGTGATCTGGGGCACTGGGAAAGGAGAATTGGGGCAGATGTGATCAACATGCATGTGTACATGTACAAAACTGTCAAAGAGTAAATATCACTTTTAAAACTGCACTTTTAGACCTAACCCAACACCAGCTAAATCAGACCCTTGGAGCTGAAGCTTCCAGTCTGCATCATCATGAGCCTTCTGAGTCAGACATGTACTGTCCTCTTTCACTTATTTTTCTTTTAATTTACAATATACTTAATTTTTCTAAAAAAATTATTTTGTGTACGAGTGTTATGCCTGTATGTGTGTAAGAGCACTTGTGTCATACAGTGCTCACGGAGGCCAGGAAAGGGCACTGAATCCCCTAGAACTGTAGTTCCATTTGGCTGTCAGCCACCATGTGGGTGCTGGGATTGGAACCCAGATCCTCTTCAGGAGCAGCCAGTGCTCTTAACTGCTGAGCCATCTCTTCATCTCCCCAGCATACTTAATTTTTAATTAGCATTCATTACAGAATTTTCAAGCACAACCAACTGTCTGTGCTGCTTTCCTCTCTTGTGGTCGCTCTTCAGTTTCCCAGCCCATACTCACAGCACATAGACACACATACAGAGACATTCAAAGTTAAGGCCACATATGAACGACAACATGCACTGTTTTCCTCAGTCTCCGTTATCTCACTTATAATAATTTCCAGGTTATTATATTATTATTATCTCACTTATAATAATTTCCAGTAAGTTCCGTTTTCTTTATGTCTGAATAAAATCCCAGGGCGCATGTGTGCACCACATTTTCAGTGTCATTTGTTTACTGAGGGGCAGGTGGGCTGAGTTCTCCTTGCTGTCCTGAATAAAGCAGGGGCAAACTGGGATGTGAACGTAGTTCTGTGGTGGGACAGATGTGCCTTTGCTCAGGAATGGCATAGTTGCGTCAAATGGTAGTTTTAGTTTTAGTCTTTCGTGAAATTTCCATACTCATTCCCACAATGGTGTGCCAGTTTACACGCTCAAGAGCAGTGGATAAAGGGACCTCTTTGCCCACATCTTTACCAGTATTTGTTTTCTTGATGATAGCCATTCTGACTTGGGTCGTTTTGATTTTTATTTTCTTGATGGTTAAAGATGGTGAACACTTTTACAACAGTTAGTGACTATTTGTGTTTCTTCTTTTGAGGACTGTCATTTCAGTCCATTAGCTCCCCTTCCCAACCGGTAGGGATTCTTTGTATAGTCTGGCTATTCACCCTGTGTTTGAAGTAGACCTGACAAAGGGTTCTTCCTCTCTGTAGACTGTCTGCTCACTCTCCCCTATAGGACACTCTTAAGAAGGCTTTCAGAATTGCTGAATCTTGTAATTTACCTATGAATTTATTATTCTACTTATCTAAGCAAGTTCTTCACATTTCAGGTTTGTCTGATCCTCTTACCTTTATAAAGGCCAAAATCCTCACAAAGGCAATCAGTAGACACTATTTCATAAAGAAAGAGTTCCTTGTTTATTAATGCCATAGGCCATCACTTGTATTTAATTTTATAATTTCTGTCTATTTGGTTTTTGTCTTTCTCTCAAGGTGGGTAAGTATTCTGCAGCTTTCATAATCAACAATTAACTCTAGTTGCTAATAGAGTGATGCATAACACCGCCAGCGGCACCTGCTGATTGGAGTGGGTAACGTCCTTAGCAAGGTCTGCTTGGTGGATCATGTCTATAAGCCGACAGCAGCACGGGACTCACAGGGTTGGGGTTTGCCTCATATGAAAATCCTTACCTGCTTCCCAAGAATCAATATTAGGTTGATGAGTTTTTCAATTCTTTGGATTTTAAGATTGCTTTTTCCTTTATAAAAGAAGTTGAGATTCCATCCAGTGCTTAGGACCGAATGCTACCCATACCCCTGGGCCAAGACATTCAACCACGTTTCCTCTGTAATTTAGTTTTTTCCCAGCACAGTATTCTTACATAGTTAACTCTTGATTATCTGTGAGTAAATAATTTGGGGAGAATTTTGCCTTGAGTCCTTGATACAGTTGTATAAGTTTACTTTTTAAACTCCTCCATCCATTCCAGCAGAATTCAACCTATCAGGATCTCTTTTCAAACAAATGAGTATGTCTCCTAGGAAGGAAAGATGTGCTTAATATATGTGGCAATTTCTCCAGACAGAGTTGAGAAGAGAGGCTGCCTTTGGACAGGGAAGTAGGGGAGACCCTGAGGCCTGACCCAGCTGGATGCCACGTGCCTGGACCTGCTAATTTCCTCATTTCTCCAGTCTGTGCTGAAGATGGCAAAGAATGGGGCTCTAGGCAGACACAAAGCACAACTCCAGGCAGACACGAAGCGTGACCTCCATTCATAAGAGTTTCTTAGGGAAGTATTTGCTGCTGGACTATAGATAGCACACTCTATGTTCCCATAGTCAAGGGGAAACATAAAACTGAATTGGGATGATCACCACAAACAAGGAGCCACATGTGACACAACCGGGTGTCACTTGCTCGTGGGACACATTCTCAGAAGTGCGTCACTATGAGGCTTCATCACCATGTGAATGATATGTGATTGTGCCACACTCAGAGCTTGGTGCTATCTCACTGCACAGCTGAGCTACTAGGGACATTTATGCCGAACGACCTCGAGACCAGGGGATTAGCTCTCTTAATGCACTTCTACCGCACATAGATGTGACTTTTCTGATATTTTCTCCCCCCCTTTATTTTATGTGTATGAGTGTACTGCCAGTGTGTATGTAAGTGCACCATGCTGTGCAATTTCCCCACAAGTCAGAAGAGGGCAGTGGATCCCGTGGAACTGGAGTTATGGGTGATTGTTGGCTACCATGTGGGTGCTGCGATTCAAATCTGGGTCTTCTGCAAGAGCAGTCAGCGCTCTTAACCACTGATCCATCTCTCCAGCCCCTGATTTTTGTTTTCTGAGAGTGTCTGACCTTTACTGGCTGGTCAAGTGCTGGGATTACAAGTCTGTTTGGGGGGGGCGGGGCAGTCTGGGATTTAACTCAGGTTCTAACAAGTCATTGAATCAACTAATGTTGGTGCTGCTCTGTCTCTGCATTCACCACTATATCTGGCACATTCTGTTTCTGAGGCTGAAGCCAAGGACTGCAGCTAGTAGACCACTCCAAATGGTGCATATTGAAGATTTAGCTCCTTACTTGATTAGTGAAGATCACAATCACCATGTCACTGACTTGTTGGAGAAAGGGTAGTAAGAGGATGCTGATGAGCATTTAGCACAGTGTTTGGTGACACATGAGGCTGACGTTGCTCAAGATCAGCATCCTTTCATCAACTCACCCGGACTTCCAGAAGGCATGGAACCAGGCCTTAAACAGGAGATTACATTTGAGGCTTTAAGAGATATCAGCTATGATGCTGCAAAGGACAGTGACAGACTGAGATGCAGAACTTCAAAGGTCAGAGGTTCTTGGGGCAACCATGATGTCCATGTTTTTGTTTTTGTTTTCTGAAAAAGAGTTCCATGGTTTTTGAGCCCCAACTGACCCCTTCCTACTCTGCTTTGATTCTTGCCTCCCAGGAAGTAAAGCATCTCCCCCAGCTTCCTCTCTTACTGCCAAGACGGGCGTAGGGTCAAACAATCACACACAGAGGTTCTGCAGCCATTAGTAAAGTCAACCATTCTTTCCTTTCACTGTTTGTAGAAGGCATTTTGTCATAGTAATGCAAAGTCTGACCAACACAGACTTAAAGGAAACTGATTCATAGACTGAAAATACTGGTCTGTAATATATAGCTAGAAGGATAAAGGCCAGATGATTGGAGTAAGTAAGGAGTGCTTCTGTGTTCCTAGGTGAGGAACGAGGACAGTGTGAGTCAGAAAACTGCAGCCGTACTGTGTAAAGAGAACTGTTGCAACCCAGGGATGGGGGAAACTTTTAAAGATCCTATGAGTCAGGCTGTAAACCCTTTCAAGGCCAGAGAATACCAGGATATCTTACAGCAGCTCCGGTCCTGTAATAACTCTCCAGCACCCCTGACTCTTATCCCCCAAACCCTGGCCGGCCTACTGCAGGCCTTAGGTCAGAGAGGCGTCAACTTCAAGGAAGACAGGACTCTCGCTGTGACATAATTTTTCCATTCTACACATGGAATCAAGTTTGTTTTCTGATATGAAGAGATTCCGAGACTTTTAATTACTTGGTACCTATCCAAGTTTGTAATCTAAGAGTTTTAAGGGGAAAGAACAAAACCCTACCACGATGAGCAGGCGTAAGAATCAACATTAAGTTGCTTGGATGTTTATCTCCCATGAGCTCAGCTTTCAATGTACCAGTTACTTCCCTGTTATACGCTCCCTGCGTGTTCCGCACTAAGGACAGAATTTCAGAAATGAATAAACTCGCACACAGTTACAATTGTGTGAAACTGCGCACTGCTGAGGTTGCAGAGACTGGCTCTTATCTATTACTGAATGCACCGTAATTGTTACCGTAAAGCCCTGTCTCTAAACCCTGCAAACTATTGACACAGATGGGAACTGCAGTCATACAATAACAAGAAGACTGAGCTCTAGTTAAAATTTTGTTACTGAGAAGCCGTGAGACAAGGGCTAGCCACCTAACTTTGCTGATGCTTCATTGGCGTATCTGTAACTTGAGAGAGACCAGTCTCCATTAACCATATGGTGCTCTGTAGGCTTAAAATTCTGTGATATTTTTAGTTGTATTATTTGTCATGGATAAAAATTGGAACTATGCCAAACCTCTATTAAACCATACCTGGATAAACGAGTGTGGAAGAGCCACACGACAAAGTGAAGGGAGGCAGTAACTTGTGCTTCAACACGGATGAGCGTGAAAACGTACCACGTGAAAGAGGACAGACACGGAGGGCTACGTCTTACACACGTGAAGTCCAGAGCACTGAAATCCAGAGAAGCAGAAAGGAGATTCGTGATCGCTCACTGGGGAGGGAAAGGGACTGGGTGTTGAAGACGTGGAAGTTGTGACAGGTGGCTGAAAAGGTCTCCCAAACTGGTGGTGAGGGTGTTGAAGGGTCCTTTGGATATACAAAAATGATTGAACTGCACATATGTTAGTGAGTCGTATACATGTTTACTGCACGTCAACAAGGCTCCCATTTTGTATATAAAGTATGGGATAAAGTTTCAAAAACACATTAAGTGATATAGTACCATCTCAAGCAGTGGCTGTGATAAACTATCTTTCTAGTAGTTCTGTATCTAGTAAGAGATAGGATGTCTGTACTAATGTCTACTTTTAAAAAAAGATTTATTTTTATTTATGTGTGTGTGTCTGTGTCTGCGTCTGTGTGAGTGCATACTATGTGGGGACAGGGACCCATGAGGGCAGAAAAAGATGTTGGATCCCCTGGAGCTAGAGTTACAGGCAGTTGTAAAAATCACTGGATATGGTTTTCAGGAACTGAACTTGGGCCTTCTGCGAGAGCAGCAGGTGTTCTTAACTGCTGCAGCGCCATCTCTCCAACCCAATATCTATTCTTACATCTTAGCAACCTGAAGTAGGGTCTAGTTTATGAAATAATGACACAAAAAATCAACAAATTTTAGAAAATGAATTATATTTGAGGAGGAAGCATAAAAATTTACGTTATGTTAATTAGTAGAGGTGATAAACATTACCATTGAAATCTACCTGATGACTTTATAGACATACACAGGTGCCAAGGATCCGCGTGCAACCGATTATGACTAGTAATAATCAGATACACACAGATTAGAGATGCATGCGCCAACATCTCAGTGTTAGTAGCCAAAACAATGAGTCTTTCTGCAAGGAGCAATATATTCTAAAATGAAATGGAGATCTTTTTTAAAGGTTAAAAAC